TTACGCGTGTTGGGGTCAAGAAAATATCAGCATTTAGTCTCCATCCGCTGTCGGAATGGTCATTCTTCTGCTTTTAGCCCAATAAGATGCACACATGAATTTGTCATTTACTGATTAATTATACATTGACACTCATATAAATGTGTGCGTGCGCGTATACCCATGTTATAAAGCTATTCTAATAGGCTACTTATAAAGCGAAGATTGCTTTTAAATTTTCTTTGTTTAAAAAAATCGATATTGTAAGAGTCATGAAAAAAATAACGAAGCCTAATAATAATAATAATAATGCAGTAAGCACTGGCGCTCATAATGTCATATTGTATACAGACAATAAGTAAATTATTTTAAACCAAATGAGGTGTAGAAATGGAGTGTATGTTTGAAATATCTGTCATGCAACATTTTTTAAAATGAAATAAAGGAATATAGCCTACAGTTGGCCGATGAGAGCAAACAGATGCAGTGGATTTCAAGAAATAGCTAGTTATTTATATAGCTGACCAGTTTCCAATTGAATCTTTTGCGCACGCTCGCGCCTTAAATTATTTATTTCTGTATACCTGTGTTTCTTTTCAAGTTAAAAACTCTATAGCCTATAATACAAGCCATAAAGTCTGAATTGAGGCAAATATTGAATCAAACCTAAATATACTGTCTGTAGCAATATAGTAGCAATATAAAATATGTAGTTGTAACATATGCAACAATAAGAAATGTAACTTTTTTGTGCTATTCTGTTACATGTTTGAATAAAAAGAATGAATGCAACAGTGGAAACCTAACAAGTCATCAGAGACAAGAACAAAACGTATACGGGAAATATCTGCTCTCCTTTTTCTCCTATAACAGTGCCATTTTTCTCCTGTAACAAACTGCATATTGTTATCAGACATATTTTTAAAACATGATTGTACTTACACTTGTATTTTGTATTTTCCGTAGACCCAGAATCAGCTTTATTGAATTACAAGGATTTTTTCATCGGTTCCAGAAGCTTCAGTATACTTGGAGACAAATAGACACATGATAACAGAGTAACAGATCGCAGTCACACAAAGATAAACGTATAGTGATTTGCCATGTAAAGGTATGTTGCAAAATTGAAATGATAAATGCATAAAGCCTACCTACATTACAAAGTTTCATATTTTGAATTGAATAAACCTCTTACTCATTTTAAAAGGCAACTATTTTAGGCCAATGCTGAAACTATAGGCATAACTTAATTCATTTTAGGTTACTATAGGAACTTTGCAACCTATAGGCGACACTCTGTCCCGCGCGCCACTCAGCAAACCCTGGAAAGCTCGCGCGCAAGAGAGAGAGACGCGGAGACAGGGAGCACGCGCGTGGGATTGTGATTGGTCGCTCGGCTGCCTGCTGCTGGAGTGACGTCACTGCAGGAGAGAACTGCCAGAGGAGGATGCATTTAGTCCGAAACTAGACTCTCTCACGCTGGAGAGAGAGAACATCACATCCACAGCGCAGGAGGGAAGGGAATGAGACAATCGCATGCAGGTTACACTCGTGCGTGGTTCCATCAAGTAAACGTTGCATCTCCTCTCACGTCCATGCATGAACACTGTGAGCATGCTTTTCAAGGGAGGAATTCCCCATCTTGGAAATTAAACTGCCTGTTCCGTTCTCTGGATGGCTGAGACGCAACATTCGATGGCTGAATCCTCAAGGACTGCGAGTTTTGAATGGAAAACGCATCGCTGAAGAGACGCACTGAAGAGTTGGGCTTTTGACTAGATGTTCTTCAACGCGAGACGCACGGGAACCTCTATTTGTCCGCGACACACGGCCACTCGTAGCTTACTTTCTGACAGAGAGGAATATGCACGTCAATTGTTAAAAGTAAGATTTTTCAATTGTCTCAATTATTTCTGCGTACTCGTATTTGTAAACGTGAATTGACTCATAGCACAGCTTGGATCCCTGAATTGTTTTGGTCACGATAACTCTTAGTAACTTAGTAGTCTATAAGTTGACTTTAATTTATAAATATATGCGTATATGTAAAAATGCATGCATATATGTACGATCCTAACATTTTACGTGAATTGCTTATAACTGACCCCATGTGACAGACAAGGCCGTGTTCGCTGGTAAGTGCATGTGGCCCTCTGTACTTTGTACACTCTCAGCAGGTGCATCTAGAATGTTTGGAACATTTTCGTGAAATATGTAGCGTGTGTATCGTTAACAGTAATATGAATAGGCGACATAGTAACTACTACACAACTAAGAAGACATTTTTACAATCATTTTGGATTATATACACTACACACTTGTATGTCTGCAGGACTTTAGCCCTTTATTAACTTGATTGTGTAATTAGTGGCGTTTGATTTTGGTAAAGCATGTTTATTGCACTACTCTTGTATGTATTTATATTTATAAATACAATTATATAGCTCTACATTTATTTAGGCTATTTGCGGACATTATAATGCATGCTTATAGTTTTTATAATACAATATGCATATACGTGACGGAAAAAAAATTATCATTTGCATCACTTAGAAACAAGACCAAATGTAATTAACAATAGATTTACGTCACATTTGCGTGAGGGAAACGTGGGTTCAGTAGACACGCTTGAGCACAGCCAAGAAACAGCTTCATAGTTTATAATGCAAAACAGAACTGTTGAAATATATTTAACACGAGTCCTTGTTAAATAAAAATAATACGAACATTATAAGCTATTTGGGTCTTATTTCTTAACTGCATCATTTTGGGGAGGAAAGTAAGATTTATATTAAACGGTGGGCTAAAAGGCCTTACCTACTGCAGTTTGCGGAATTATAACGCACGAACTGAAGATGAAATGATGCATGGTGATGTAGGCATGTGGAGGTGTGATGACTGTCTGATTGTTGGGGCCTAACGAGCCAAATGAAATGGTTAGACCTAATAATCGTCATTTCTAAGGATTATTGGTGACCAGAAGGGACCAAATCCCTTTAAATCGGATTGATGAATGGGAAGCCTGACAATAACTCCAAAGACTCCATTTGAAACGCACCCACACCGCAACTTCAGGCCTAGACTATTGTGGATTATGTCTTCACCACGTGCTGGAGGTCTGGAGAACCTCGTAAATCCATTCAACACTTGACTTGTTAACAGCATATACAGGTCTATAAAAACAGAGTGTAATTTGTTTATTGCGCATTAACCCTGTTTTCGTTCATCAGGTCGACTTTATGAGATGTTCCACATTTTAAAAAAAGTGTTGACAGGAGGTAGTTGCTATCTTTGGTTATCTAGCTGTATGAGTGTTTATCTGCCTTCATAAAGCTAGATAACCGAAAGTAGAAACGTCCTCCTTAACTGCATAGTGGACAAGTCGGGAAGCAATGATGGCAGGGAACTGCGTGAGGTAAGCAGGCCCTCTGCTCTGTGCGCTTTGCAACCTATAGGCGACACTCTGTCCCGCGCGCCACTCAGCAAACCCTGGAAAGCTCGCGCGCAAGAGAGAGAGACGCGGAGACAGGGAGCACGCGCGTGGGATTGTGATTGGTCGCTCGGCTGCCTGCTGCTGGAGTGACGTCACTGCAGGAGAGAACTGCCAGAGGAGGATGCATTTAGTCCGAAACTAGACTCTCTCACGCTGGAGAGAGAGAACATCACATCCACAGCGCAGGAGGGAAGGGAATGAGACAATCGCATGCAGGTTACACTCGTGCGTGGTTCCATCAAGTAAACGTTGCATCTCCTCTCACGTCCATGCATGAACACTGTGAGCATGCTTTTCAAGGGAGGAATTCCCCATCTTGGAAATTAAACTGCCTGTTCCGTTCTCTGGATGGCTGAGACGCAACATTCGATGGCTGAATCCTCAAGGACTGCGAGTTTTGAATGGAAAACGCATCGCTGAAGAGACGCACTGAAGAGTTGGGCTTTTGACTAGATGTTCTTCAACGCGAGACGCACGGGAACCTCTATTTGTCCCCGACACACGGCCACTCGTAGCTTACTTTCTGACAGAGAGGAATATGCACGTCAATTGTTAAAAGTAAGATTTTTCAATTGTCTCAATTATTTCTGCGTACTCGTATTTGTAAACGTGAATTGACTCATAGCACAGCTTGGATCCCTGAATTGTTTTGGTCACGATAACTCTTAGTAACTTAGTAGTCTATAAGTTGACTTTAATTTATAAATATATGCGTATATGTAAAAATGCATGCATATATGTACGATCCTAACATTTTACGTGAATTGCTTATAACTGACCCCATGTGACAGACAAGGCCGTGTTCGCTGGTAAGTGCATGTGGCCCTCTGTACTTTGTACACTCTCAGCAGGTGCATCTAGAATGTTTGGAACATTTTCGTGAAATATGTAGCGTGTGTATCGTTAACAGTAATATGAATAGGCGACATAGTAACTACTACACAACTAAGAAGACATTTTTACAATCATTTTGGATTATATACACTACACACTTGTATGTCTGCAGGACTTTAGCCCTTTATTAACTTGATTGTGTAATTAGTGGCGTTTGATTTTGGTAAAGCATGTTTATTGCACTACTCTTGTATGTATTTATATTTATAAATACAATTATATAGCTCTACATTTATTTAGGCTATTTGCGGACATTATAATGCATGCTTATAGTTTTTATAATACAATATGCATATACGTGACGGAAAAAAAATTATCATTTGCATCACTTAGAAACAAGACCAAATGTAATTAACAATAGATTTACGTCACATTTGCGTGAGGGAAACGTGGGTTCAGTAGACACGCTTGAGCACAGCCAAGAAACAGCTTCATAGTTTATAATGCAAAACAGAACTGTTGAAATATATTTAACACGAGTCCTTGTTAAATAAAAATAATACGAACATTATAAGCTATTTGGGTCTTATTTCTTAACTGCATCATTTTGGGGAGGAAAGTAAGATTTATATTAAACGGTGGGCTAAAAGGCCTTACCTACTGCAGTTTGCGGAATTATAACGCACGAACTGAAGATGAAATGATGCATGGTGATGTAGGCATGTGGAGGTGTGATGACTGTCTGATTGTTGGGGCCTAACGAGCCAAATGAAATGGTTAGACCTAATAATCGTCATTTCTAAGGATTATTGGTGACCAGAAGGGACCAAATCCCTTTAAATCGGATTGATGAATGGGAAGCCTGACAATAACTCCAAAGACTCCATTTGAAACGCACCCACACCGCAACTTCAGGCCTAGACTATTGTGGATTATGTCTTCACCACGTGCTGGAGGTCTGGAGAACCTCGTAAATCCATTCAACACTTGACTTGTTAACAGCATATACAGGTCTATAAAAACAGAGTGTAATTTGTTTATTGCGCATTAACCCTGTTTTCGTTCATCAGGTCGACTTTATGAGATGTTCCACATTTTAAAAAAAGTGTTGACAGGAGGTAGTTGCTATCTTTGGTTATCTAGCTGTATGAGTGTTTATCTGCCTTCATAAAGCTAGATAACCGAAAGTAGAAACGTCCTCCTTAACTGCATAGTGGACAAGTTGGGAAGCAATGATGGCAGGGAACTGCGTGAGGTAAGCAGGCCCTCTGCTCTGTGCGAACCATACAGCCAGTTTAAACAGCTGCTATGTAAAGTAATACGATCGTGCGGATAGGTCACACAAGTAATGTTTCAGGCTGCCATTTTAAATGCACCTTCGGACAGGTGCACGTTTTTGGACTACTGCATCAATTTTGAAAATCTACTGTAGTGCCTTAGTTTAAAAAAATCAAAAGGGACTATATTTAACTTGTGTTTGACTATATAAAAGAGCTACAATTTATTACATTAATGTTTTTTGCTAAATATTAATAATTGATGTTGATTTACTCAACTGTTTTTTAAAGTTATAATTTGACCAGTTCAGTCAGTGTTGGTTTTGATGTCAAAGGTTTGGTTTAGTCTGAGAAATAATGAAAAAGCTATGAGAAGAAATGTATTTTATAAAACATTTAAACGACAAAATTGCAATGAAAATTCCAAGGGAAAAAATAAACAGCAAACTTTTACTTTTATTTAGGCTCACAATCAAATTAGTAATTTGTTGAACTATTTTGTAGGCTATTTTAATGTTCACGCAAACGCTTTGGCAGTGTTGCGCTTTGTTAACTTTGCGTTGGATAAGTTCATAAACTTCCTAGCTAGTTCCCAAACTCTGCCTACTTCAAACCACCAGATATCTTTGCCTCAGCCAGGCAAAAGCCATTGCTGCTGATCCGCCTGCTTTTATTCAGCGCCTGACCCGCGCGCATGAGGCCTGCATTTAATGCGCGGGAATTGGATCTCATAGCTGGAACTCGATCTTAGTTTGATCCAGAAGGGAATCCATGAGAATTTCACAACTAGTCGATCACTAATCGAAGATAAATGATAAGTTCATAAACGTCCTAGCTAGTTCCCAAACTCTGCCTACTTCAAACCACCAGATATCTTTGCCTCAGCCAGGCAAAAGCCATTGCTGCTGACCCGCGCGCATGAGGCCTGCATTTAATGCGCGGGAATTGGATCTCATAGCTGGAACTCGATCTTAGTTTGATCCTGAAGGGAATCCATGAGAATTTCACAACTAGTCGATCACTAATCGAAGATAAATGAGCGCTTAAATAGTGTTGAAAATCTCTCCTCTCAACACTCACTCGATGACAAATAAGGATTTCTGAGATGATGAAAAGGTGAAATCGTTTTTGTCACATGTCCACACAATGGCTTCCTTTGTGTTGGTTTTGATTTATCGACAAAAGGGCTTAAAAATATTAAGAATTAATATATAATCTTGACATTTTAAATCACTAAAGATGTTCTTTTTTTACAGTCTCTAGACAGTTACTAGATATTTTTGACATGAAGTCCCACAGACTATCCTATATTTAAAACTTGAAAACTTGTAAATTATAAAAGCTGCATATTTAAGTAATTTGTTGTATACATTGCATTTTAACGTATCTTTAAACAACTTCGACATTCAAAAAAGTGAACGTGACGTCATCGACCCATTCGCAGTAACAACTATTAGGCAATGACATCAAGCTGAAGCAGCTTCGTTATGATTGGTCATATTAATCTGGCTGTACACATCAAAGATGAAGGCATGAGGCGGAATCTAATGCGGAATGAAGGCGCTTTTTTTTTTCTTTTTTCTTTTTATCCCTGTGGTTTTTAGTGACATAAGACGTAATTGTGAGACACCAACCCTATAGTAGGCTACTGTAAAAATTGCTGAAAATTATGTAAATATTAGTTGAAAATGTTTAGATCTCAAAATCATTAGAGGTGTAAGCGCCTTTGGAGCTTCGCGTCACGCAGAGCCACACACACACACACACACACACCAGCCTGTGTGTTACGAACTCTTCAGTAAAGCATATATTAAAAATACCGTATCCTTAATTTATGATTATATTAAATATATTAAATAAATATTTATTATAGTGACACAATATTAGAAACCAAATGAAATTCCTGAAGCAATCACGAAAAAAAAAATCATTGGCATGTGCTTAAAATTTAGGTCAGTTTAATCTGAATTGGACTCAATTGCCTGGCTTATTAGTCTTTGTTTTACTGCTGTATGGATAATACAACTAAATACACAAGATGCATACTTTTGTTTTCAGATACAGAAAGAATGGTGTATAAGCTTTGAGTGTCAATTAAACTAAATGAAGAGAAGAGGAAATTATTGATAATTACAACTTGAAAAGAAAAAACAACTAACAAAGAAATGATAGAGAACAGAAAATAATAATTTTCATGAGCTGACTGAGCAGATTTTACATTCTCTATATTTGCCACGTTAAAAAATGTTTCACATGCCAAGTGTGATTTAAGGTGCGAATTCGGCCTTGCTTGAGCTTTTTAATTCAGTGTTCATTATCTGGCTGTCATTTATGTGTTTGTAAATTTTATCAATAATTTAAATGTAAAACTGAGATATTCTGATTATTGTCTATTCCTGGTGTCTTTTATTACTTCACCTCACTGTAGGCTCTCAAACTGCAGTGTCTTTGTGATAGACCAGAGGACTGGAGCTAAGGGGGAAAACGCCATCTGGTAAGTGCAATCAAAGCGTATTACACTGCAACATTGTAATTAGAACAATTAGTTGCAGAGTTAATCTGATTCAAACACACAGTAAATCATAAAGTATATGCTAATGAATTCATGCACTTGAAAGGAGCCAAATGCAAATAGTAATCCCCAATCAAGTCCAAGACACTATATGCATGACATGAATCTTTCATCAGAAAATCTATATATCTGTTTCTATCCCTCTCTCGCCATATATCGCCATAGTCATAAAAAGCATCTGTTTATGGTTATCTGACCTGACCTGTTTTCCTGTTTTTGCATATTTGTGTATTTAAAGACACTAATATAAGTTTAATATAAGTGCACATTTGTACCAGACTCCAACAATTTCTTTACAGTAAAGTGCAGATCATAATCAAAAAGTTTTTCTTAATCATTCTATAGATAAATGTTGTATTATGATGTGTGGCGTATGTTTATTTGTCAATTCAAATCATATCAGGCAGACATTGTGCAATTCACACAATATTAGCAAATGAGTAAGAAAAGGGCTCGCTATGGCTGTTAAACATAAAACATAATTATCTCATAATTATCTGTTAGACATTAAACATAATTATCTCGGGAAATAGCCCTCAAAGCATCAGGCTTGACCTGTGTAAAAAGAACGAAAATAAATCTAAATCACAATATATATTTCAACATGCCAAGGAATCTGTGGTTAGTATGACTGCAGGACATTAGGCCAAAGGCTTCAATGCGATAAATGATCGGAGAGAGGATATTATATGTCTGTCTCCATCTCGATAATGATAAGAATGTATGGGCCACTATCACATTGCATATTACTTTATGTAAAATTAATGTGAGCAAAGAAATTCTGTCATCATTCATTAACAGTGATCTTTTCCAGCTAAACTGGTTACCTAGCACAATTGAATAACGGTTATTCAATGAAATTATGGGTGGACAGTAATTGATGTGGGCTGATTCATTATACCTTCACAGTGACCAATTGCACAGCTGGCTATGAGAGCACAAAAGCCGGACGTTCATGCCTTCGCACGATTCGTGTTGAGCTAACGCACAACTACTTACATTACTAATACCAGGGTTGTCTGAACGTGGTGAAGTTACTTAGCATGACACGGACAAGAAATTATAGTCACCTGATACTGTTTATATCATCCAAAGAAATAATATATAGCAGTTGCCATGACATCTGCTTTGGCAGTGATAAAAGGGGCTTTTTGTCCTTTATTTTCTTGTTTCCCCTTAGCAACTGCCAGCCATTTACACTGCCTTTTTGGAGCAAGAGGGAGAGAGGGAAAAATGGTGCAATTGTCCAAATGAAAGAAAAGAAAAATAATAGTCAACCCTCATCCTTCTTCTACCAGCTCCCCTCCCTTCTTCGTCAACGGAAGCATTTAGTGCCATCTGTGCCCCCGGAGAAAAGAGGAAAAAAAGAAAGGAGTGAGACTCTACATCCCAAGTGCCAATGGGGACAAAGAGGCTGCCAGTTGCCACGGACCACCAGATGCTGGAAGACTGCAAGTCTGAATGAGGGGTGTGCTTTCAGGAAGCCATCTTGATGGAGAAGCTGGCTGCTGCTCCCTAAAATGGCTGTGTTGGCATGAGGTAAGCTGCATCGATGCCTATATCAGACTAGCTGCCACGTTATTGTGTCCGATTTTAGCTCCGCCAGTGGTTGCCAGGTCGTTTGAAACGTAAAGCAAACGAATTGGGCGAATGCCTACACAAAACGTCTCTAAAAAACGTGTTTTGTGGTTGCTTTTTTGGCGGCGTGAGATTAGGCCCAAATCATTTTCTTTAAAAAGAGCTATCACGCTCTCATCTTTCCTGACTAATTAGAAAATATCCCCGTTATCTATATGCACACGCTCAGATATGCACAAAGACCTTTTGATTTGTAGCGAGCTTTGAAAGCAAATGAATCCCTCCTGCTGCTGTATACATATTTTCAAATGGAAGAGAATGAAAGTAGCTATGAATTCGTGCTCTTACCACATTAATTGACTGGAGGTTGGGTTATGTGTTATAAAGGACAAAACCGTGCAACGAAATCCATGGTTCAATGACGACACAAAAATGACCACAGCAGATTTTCAGATGAAACCAAAAAGAGAGAGCTGCTTGAACTCACTCGAGAGTTAAGTTAATTGACATACGGCATCCTCTTGACCAAAGCAACAGAGTCAACCTGAACTGAAGAGCACTTTTGTTTCTGCTGCTTAATGATACACCAAATTACTGGCACGAAGGTGCCAAGTGCCCCTCACCAGCTTACAATAGCACATACGCTGCCCTGCCCAACTTTAATGTTAGAAATAGGTCTGCAGGCTCTTACACTGTACCGTGTTTTTAATTATGTTTGGTGAAATTTTAAAACAGCCACAGTTTGTATCATTAGCTGGTCAAGAGGCGAGAGGTGCAAAACATCACATTGCTCGCTCGGTTCACTCGGATGTTGCGTGGTAAATGGAAATTTACGCAGGCCGCCTGGTTGCAGAGAGCTGTGTGTTATGTCATTGAAATGGATGTAAGACACTGAAATGCACTTCACAAAGGTGACTGGTTGCGTCATAATGGATTGCTGGTGATATGCAGAGCTGTGCTGGTGCGTTTATTGCAGAAAATGATTAAAATAGGTGGAACACAGAAACATATTTGCTCTAGGATGACAAATTTGCTTTGCTTTTGTGATGTTCCCAAAACAACACGAACGAATAGAGCGTAAATAATCAAAATACATTGAAATGCGAAGACGAGACAAATGATGCGTCATCTACTGAATATTTAAAGCCACTGAATCCCCCTCGTAATAACAGAAAACCGTTTTTGCATACTTACTGAGCGTGGAAACCCTGTGTGCCTAAAAGACATCCTTGTCCATAAATGAGCTTTTTTAAAAAGACTGACATTTTATCCTAAAAGAGGAGGCCATCAAAAAAGACGTGTAAAAAAGATCACTGATGTACGGAAGGTGCCCGTGGAGCTTACAAATAAAGGAAACAATGATGCAAGTGCCTCTGTTAATGAAAAAGACCAGACAAGCTCTGCATATTAACATAATTGCATAGGAACAAGCAGAGAGGACTGAGCCCCCAATTAAAGGCACAGCGGCGCTTTAGCAACGGCAAGTGGCAGCATTCTATATTTTGAATGTTTATGTTCAAATTTGAATGCCGACTTTGATGCTTTCAAAGCAGAAAAAGACTTTGATGTTACTGTTGTGCTTGTGTTCTATCTGCCTTTTCTCTTGCAGAGAATTATACATGCATTCTAGAAATTTCCGGGGATAAATACACACACAAATATACAATGCAGAAATTTGTCCATTCTGAATGCAAAATATAATTTTTGCAATCTATATTAAGCAGGAGCATTTGCTTTCTCAGTTTTGCATATAAGAGACAAGAACAATCCATGTTCATATTTTTAAAAGAAATAGCCAGATGTTTAATAATTTAGGATGTTTTGTGAGCCTGTAATAGACAAAAATAATAATAATTAAGATTATACTACAACACAAAGCTACAGATTTAAGATTTAACACCGCACATTTGTCTCAATAGATGTTATTATATTATTAATATATGGAAATGGTTTCTCCATCTACATACAGAAGAAAAATAGATTTTTCAAGATGATACAAAACTGAGCATCTCTATTTGCAACCCAACACTCTGCATACATTTTAAACTCGTCCTTGGACAAAATAGTAGCCTAGAAATGAGAGACTGTACCTTTAATAGAGAATTTCTAATTAGGCTGTGTATCTTGCCGTGAGGGGGAGGGGTTTCCTCCTTCTGCATCTCTCAGGGTTTTATGTAAAAGACCTTCAATGTTTAAATATCTCTCATACGGACCCAAAACTCATTTTATACCCTTGATCAGAGAGTCTAATGCAATAGTGTTACACAACAACACTGCATTTGCCCAAATGGCGCATAATGATAGCACAACTGTAGATGGTTTAACAGCAAATGTTAACAGTGTTTACAAATGTATAGAAGCAAGAATAAATGTTCACGTTCGCATTTGTGTGTGTGTGAGTATAAGCGGTCGAGCAGGGGGAGTGGATGCTTGTCAGAGCATAATGTGACTGCTGCAGAGCAGTGGCTGAAAAGTGTTAATTATGCCGCTTGGCACGGTGCCAAACCCATACCAGATTTTTCCAGTTTTCAATATGCAAATCATGCGCTGAACTGTGTATTGTTTTTGTGGTTTACCAGTTCTTTGTGTTTTCAGCCAAACAGAATGCGCACATGAGTATTTGAGTCAGAAAAACGAAATATTTGGTTTTTTCCTTTCTGCATCAAGCAAACACAAAAGCTATAGAATAATGCACTGCATTGCTAAGAAATAATTCCAGTCTAAATTCATACAAGCCTATATGCATGAATGGAATTATTTGAAATAAAATCTAATAATTCAAATGTAAAAAAATTTTTTTAATCCTTAGCACATTTGGATTACTGTCTATAGCTCTCTCTGGTACCAGTCCAACGTAATGTGCTTTATGGAGTGGCATATGTAGATTTTAGGCATGACTGTGATTATATTTTTTCATGGACTGAAAAGGGCAATTCCTTGAAATGTCTGGTGTCTGGCACAATAATCACGTCAACACAAGGTCATTTGCATGTGTGTGTATGATGAAAAATGTGTTTTCATGTCTGTGTGCAAGAAAGTCAATCAGTTTCAGTGTTTTTTTTTTTTTACACAACTTCTCCTTACACATATTCAAGCATCAATAGCAACACCACAAATGATGATTTGTGATAAATAAGGAGCAAACTGTCAGCTGTAGTCTCTTTGTTGGTAAACAGTTTGATAGTGCCCACATTATTATTCCAGACCCCTCTCCTCTTCTACAATGGCAGCATTGTACGGCGAGTACTTGACGTGGGTCCGCGGTCCCCCCTGTTTCCCACCATTGTCTGTACGGATGAAGTGCCAGAGACAGTGGAGGGTAATAAGCTGAGAAAGATGCTCAGGCCCAGACAGAGCCAGATGCCTAAATTAGCACCAAAACCCTAAGAGACTATCCTCAGGGAAAGGCTGAGGACGGGGCTTTATTTCTCAGGCTGCTTCGAGAGTGTGTTAGCAGCACTGCATGTTTGTGCTGTCAGGAATTGCGTGAGCATTTGCACAATCATGTGTGCTCGCGTAGTAGGTGCACTCCTCTCTGTGACATATTTTTGCAGTGCCTGCTAGAGTATCGAGTTGTTATCGAGTTTAAATCGTTAAAGGTCAATGCTAATTGATTAATATGAGTGTGTATTCTAAAGTGTAGCATTTTATATTGTATATCTTTTGTCTTAGTGTGTGCAGTTTAATTATTTATTGTATTGTAATTATTGTTGGCTCTTTGACGAATTGCTTTTGTATCCAAAGCGACTTGGATTTGCAAGCATCTGCTAAATGCATAAATGTAATGTATTTGATGCATGATGTGCATTGCAAAGTATTTATGAATCATAAAGTTCTGTGTATATATTAATGCATTTTGCATGTAAAAACAACTTGAGTTGAATTTGAAGGACAGTTTGTTCCTCGCCCCCTTCTGCTAGGGCACAGCAGTTGGGCAAGCAATTAATTAAAGCTCCATTACAATATATTACCCAGTAAAATGGAGGCAGTGATACAGAAAACCACAGAGAAAGTTTGCACTGGGACAGCAACAGTATTTCACAGCAAGCAAAAGGTGAATCACAAAAAAAGGTAGGGTGAGATAAACAATTGACGTTAATAAATACGCAGATGAACAATAAAATATCGAGGAAACGTGTGTTTGGCAGAGAATAGAAGGGGTGGGGGAGGGCTTTTACTGTCTGGCTCAGTCTGTGGCCCCATGTGGCAGTTGCTGCAGCTGGCATGTTAATATCAAAGGCCTATGGGAGGTGGCTATCTGGGAATATTTGTCTGGCATACTAACAGTTTTCTCCCCGTCATATGTCATCTTTATGTCCAGTGTTATAGGGCTTCACATATTTATTTCTAAAAGCCAGCACTGTGAGATTTCATTTCATGCTCTTGTGATAAAAACTTAGTGCCAGATTAGATTTGGAAACATATATGACTGCAGGGAGAATGAAAGCTGCTATTGCTTTCTGAGAAAGTTCATACTTGTATATATATTTATATCTTTCAAGTCATTTTTAATGCACGCTTTACCAAAGATATCTCTTGAGGACAAGTTGAGAATGGATCGTGTTAATGAAGACACTTAACAAGGGTAGACGAGTTACGAATCGCTTTCATAACTAAGAAATGAACAGTGGTGAGAAATGACTCGGAAGCATCTCTTGGGTTCGTGTTAAAGACCATTGTGTGTTTTACGGTAAAATTCCCCTTGGATACCTCAGCTGTCGATCTCGTCTTAATCTTGGGATAAACGCGATTATCCCGCGAAGGGTTGTTCTCAGCTTTGTATCAGCTACGGGGGAGCTTTGAAATTGTTTCCCCCACCCTTTTCTCCCCCTCCTTGGACGAGTGGCCATGAAAAGCCTGGGATTGAGATTCCCGAGCCGGACTCTGGCTGGAATAACATGCAGCAAAAAGAACCACAGTCAGCAGAGTGGTAGATCTAAACTGATCTATTAAATGCAAAAGGTAATCCAGAGCCACAATGGAGATGTTAGGATCACAGAACTACACGGCATCTTAATCCAGATCATGAATTTGAGAGATGGATGAAAGTAAAAGTACCTTAAAGGGACAGTTCACCCTGAAATACAAAATAATTTACTCACCCTCATGTCACTCTAAAACTGTATGACTTTCTTGTGCAACACAAAAGAAAGTAAGATTGCCTTTCAATATATATATATAATTTTTTTTTTTTTTGTGCATGTATGTTCAACAGAAAAAAAAAAGTCATACAGGGTTGGAATAACATGAGGGTGAGTAAATGACAGAAATTTCATTTTTGGGTGAGCTATGCCTTTAAGTGGGCTTTTAGACTAAATCTAAGCATATAACAAGTACCCCTATGTGACTTCAAATCAGTTTCTATGACAAATGCATTTTTTGTTCCTATTATTCAGGTCTATGCAATTAAAATCATAATTTCTGTAAGGGGATAACCTTGAAAAAATGTCACTTTGGAAACCAGTTCTTTCAAAGACTTTTCTTTTGTTGATAATGCAGAGTGCTAAAGATGAGGTTGGAGTGACCTGACCAGAGTTGCGTTGAAAAGTTCTGCCAATGTAATTTGTAATAAAGCAATAAAATAAAAGAGAAGATGGGACTTCTCTGCAAATCCTTAAAGCACTCACAGGAACATCAGTAACTGTATCCTGGAGGATGCGAGAGCAGAGGGCAGTACTAGGAATTCAAGAACAGGAGAGTGGAGACCAGGGACCACTTAAACCTCCATCATGGTCTCACCATTATAAAAGACCTTGAGATATAATTATCCTCACTTTGTAGCTTACCTTCGCTTTTTGCCCACTTTGCATCCTAATGAGGAGAATTACAATCACTTTTAAAATGTAAATAGAAGAGAATATACATATACATTTATATTGTTGAAACATCATAGTTTTTTGTTAGGTTTGCTTTGAAAAGTCTGCCATTGTTTACTTACAAAAATGTTGTGGTCCAAACAACACTGGACCCCTTTGACTTTCATTGTATGGCCAAAAGACATTTTTTATCTTTTTAAAGGGGTCATATGACGTTGCTAAAAAAGAACATTATTTCGTGTATTTGGTGTAATGATCGTCGCAGTGATTTGGTAAACAGCCCCCCTCCATTCTAAAATGTCTAGTCTACTTCCATCCCATAATCCTCCTCATTGCAACTCCTCTAGGAACAATATTTGTGGCTCTTGGTAAAAATGATTGTAGGCCTTTAGGTTCTACAGTGTGAATACACTTTCCTCAAACAAAGATAATTGGAATATGTTTTACAGGAGTTTTTCTACTTCAAAATGGCACATTTAATTCAGTGTGTTACATTTTCTCTCTTTTTGTTTAACCTTTAACATCCATGGAACCTTTCAATTACACAAAAGGTTCTTTATAGAGGAACATTTTCTTTAGAATGTTATGTTCTTCACTCTAAGAAACAATGGTTCTTTTAGGAACTGCTCACTGAAAGGTTCTTTGAGGAACCCAAAATGGTTCTTCTATGGCAGTGATCCTCAAATCTGGCTCGCGAGATCCACTTTCCTGCAGAGTTTAGCTCTAACCCTAATCAAACACACCTGAGTTTGCTAATCAATGTCTTCCGGGTCATTAGAAAATCACAGGTATATTTGTTTGATTAGGGTTGGAGCTAAACTCTGCAGGAAAGTGGATCCCGTGAGCCAGATTTGAGGATCACTGTTCTATGGCATCTCTGCAGAAACCCCATTTTGGGACCTTTATTTTTAAGAATGTTCTTTATTGGCATCGATGGTTTCATGAAGAACCTGTAACATTTCCATTCCACAAAAGGTTCTTTGTAGTAGAAAAAGGTTCTTTTAAGAACTGTTCACTGAAAGGTTCTTTGGGAAACCAAAAATGGTTCTTCTATGGCACCGCTATGAAAACCCCCTTGTGAAACATTTATTTTTAAGAGTGTAGTTCTTTGCATGATGAGTGGACTGTTGCAACGATATTAGTAACGTAATATGATTGTTTCTACTATAATCAACATAGTGGTGCATAGTGCTTTAGAATGTCATGGTGGGCTCCGTTCCCATTACAGTAGAGTGTGGTGAGAACAAGTGTGTGTGTGTGTGTGTATTTTCTTGAGGTCTCATTCAAGGCTGAGGACGAGAATTGAGAATAAAAGGCCAGTGATTTGCATAAGCTGCATGCTGTCTGAGGGTTTTGGGAAGGCGGTGGGAGCTTGAGGGAAAAAAAATATGCGGGAATATATAAAAAAAAAAAGAGACAGAAAGAAACCACACATTGTAGAGGCGCAGAAAGAGAGAGGGGGCTTGAATGAAGCAGAGGGTGAAAATTGACAGAGAAAAGGGTCTTGCCAAGTCTCCTGCAGGGATTAAATTGTCCATAAACCTCTCTCTATATAATTTGGGAAAACTGGTAATGGCGTTGATACACATCGTACACAAATTCTAAGGGTGACGGGGTATAGAAAGGATCCGCACCACTTTTGGAAGCAAATAAAGAATGAGGGATTGTAAACAAATATGGTCAATGCATGTAAAAGTGTTGTGTTGTATGCATTACCCATCGCTAGATAACCAAATTTGTTTTACTGACTGCATTATTTGGAGCAATATAAATACTCAAAATTATCTCAAAATGTCACCCTCTTTAAAACTATAATGACCACTAAGCTGAGTGAATATGGTGATGTTGTGAAATTGCCAAATAACACACACAAAGGACAGCACAGCATTACCCCAAACTGCAATTTAGATGCTTGATTGTTCTCATTAAAAGAAACTATTGGAAACGCCACCAAAATGGACTCCAACCTTTCTAAAATCTACAACATTTAGAATATTAGCAGTATTGCAAACCCATAAATCCACTTCCTATTATTTGGGGTGAAATACAAGAACAAAATACTGCTGAAAATGATGTGTTTGCATTGCATTGTGTTTCAGTTTTCATAGCAGCAGTCACTGATCGATAATTCTAAACACTTTTCCCATCGCTAGATTTATCAGGAATGGAGTACAGAAGATAGCAGGGTTGTCATTTGCATTTCAGTCAATCAGATATTTTCAAGTTGACAGTGGAGAGACATTCAAGACATCACAAATGTCAGTTTTAGCACAAAGGATTAGTTTTGGAAGTATTTTTGTTTTCCTATCAGAAACGTAGAAAACAACTTCAGAAAAAAAAAAAACCCCAGACATCCCTTGTGACCATGCAACTCTAGTTCTTTGGATCTATTTCTAATGTTAACGTTAATATGGTTTTTCATTTCCACTATATTGAATAACACTACACACACTACCTTCACATTGTTGTTGATGCCAGTATGTTGTCTTTTTGACATTTATGTCATAACAGCAAGCCATGTCATATTAATCTTTTTATTTTCCTCTCTAACCAGGCTCCTGGCAATAAAACTCCCATCGTTGTCATCAGCTGCTGGAGAAACCAAGGCCATCCTGCTATGTTTGAGTCAAATGGTCAATCACATCACCTCAGGAATCCAGCGTCCAGCATCTCTTCCAGATGGTTCGCTGTGAAAATTTAACAAGCAGATGAGAGACGATTTAGAATGTGCACTAATTGATTTAACTGGGTGTCTTAAAACCTTGCAGACAATCAGTAAGACTGGATGGGTGTGTGGATTTGGGCTGTTCACCCAGTTAAATCTTAGATGTTAGAAAATGTGTTGTACAGTCTTATCAGTGCTATATAAACTGAAGAGAATAATGTGCCTTAATGTGTGAAAAGTTTACAGTGAAAGTTGTTGTTATTGAAACATTTCAGTGCATGGGAATTTGCGATCCCTATTTTAAATACTAGTATTTTTAATGTTAGTCATCCATGTTTCATGTTATTATATTATAAAATGTGCCTGTTTCAGTTGATGTACAGGAAATTGGTTAATCCAGATATTTTGTATGGCTACTGTATGGTTTAAGAATTATGCTCAGTTTCTCTCTGCATTATCATTTGTCTGATTATGTGATATGTGAAACAAACTTATTAAACTGCACAAATAAACAACATTAAAGCACTGAGTGAATGATTGTTGACACTGAAAAAGCCATTTTAAGTTATACCCTGTATAGAAATGTACTTTAATGGGAGGTGGACGTCAACACAGCTTCACATATAGTGGCCACAGGCTATTTTGTAACCACCTACTTCAAGACAGCTTGACAGCTCATAGTTCTGGTGCTCCTGTCAGCACCTTGGACAGCACATAATAAGCAAGTGTGGAAAATAACTAGCAGTGAATCACCTCTCTTATTCATGCAGAAGTCATAAAAAATCAAACATGTGCTGCTCTGGTGTGAGTCAGCGCAGTGTGCTTAAGGTGACGTTTGTGTTTTTAATCTGTGGGAAGGAGATCAAACAATTTCATATAATTCTGGGATTTGTTTGACTAGCAAACACTCAAGACACTGCATGTCAATGATTGTTTCCATTTACTGAGATTATATTTGAAGCATAGGCTACATAAAACAGAGAAGTTGTCACGTTAAAAAATTATCAAAAGATTTAACATATGAAGTAAGACATTATTTTGAACCAAAATTGAGAGTTAATTTCTATGCCTGAGCTGGAATACTCATTCAACACATTGACAGCTGATGAGAAATATACCTGGTGTAAAACACTGGTTAAATTACATTAAGCCATAAAAAAAGGATTCACACACCTCTCAAGTTAAGATGGATGTCTATGACAAATCTGACAAGATTTAATCTTCAATTGAAATTTGATTTTAATGGGTGCTTTTCTTTCCTGCGCAGTTCCAGAATCACAAAAACAACTGAAGAGTTTTCACTCTCGAGTTTGTCAGTGAATATAAATGAAGTGCAAATTATCGTGTGCTCTGTGAGCACGATCAAATCAAACGTTTATATCTTGTAAGCCTCAAATGTGATATGTGTTCAAATAGGCCTGCTTTTACTTGGATTACTTTCAGCCAATATTTAACTTAATCGGAATTTGAATATTCTGTTTAAAATACGTCTCTGTACATTTTTAAATAAAATTCCCATTCTGTTGCTTCGTTCAGTTTTTGTGGAGCGTACAGAAGACGAGCAGATCATTTTTAGAGTTTAAAGAGATTAAAAAGTTGACGTTCTCAATATAATCTTACCAAAATATATTGCAGACAGTCGTTAAATGCATATACGTTGAATAAGTTTGGGCACAAACTTTGGTTAATGTATACATGAACTATTTCACCACCGATAATGCTGAGACTTTTCTACCTGCCTTTATGCGAAAAAACAAAACGTGGCAACTTTTCTCCATTTTATTGCATAATGAAACTCCTTCCCACCAGTTTATATAATTTATTATGGCGTAATTGACTTGCATCAATTAAATTAACAAAAAATAAGGGAAGAAACAAACTGACGAACAAAATTCATTTATTTTATTTCATTAAAAAAACTTAACTATCCATCGTATATGCTATTCAACAAACATTTACTGTAAGCAATAATAACCAACCTCTGTATTAGATTTCCAGCAATCTAAATCTAACAAAAACATAGCGTTCGTATCAGGATGAGCCTGTGGAGAAAGAAGAGACTCGTTAGTCGTCGGATGTCGAGTTAATATTGTAGGAGAGACTGCACTGCTGTAACACGGGGTAAGTTGTAACACCATTAGTTTGCAATTAGAAATCAGCTACAGGGGTGAAATCAGCATCATATACATGAGCACCACTCCACTGAGGTGGAGGTACAAATCATAAGACTTTGTGTAAAATATAGAGGATTTACTATTTTTTAAAAAAAGCATCGAGATGTTCTCCCCGTCTCCTTTATAATTTAGTTTGATGGATGAATGTTATATTATACAATCGTTAATATCATCTGTTTCAGGTTCTCTTGTTCAATTTGAAATACAAGCTTCAAATCTTAAAGGGTTGTAACACTTTCCAATGCACTTACTGGACCCAGAAATATTAAGGGGGAAAAAAACAGTGCACACTCAACACACCTCTGTTTTTACAGTTGTTAGCTTATGTGTTTGTTACCAAATGTAGCCTATTTGCTTTCAATTATATTTGCTTTAAAATGTATTTTGCTTTAAATTGTCCTATATTTGTACAATTAAAATGCTTAAAATGTCCATGTTTTCTATTAATGTTTTAACCCACCACAGCAGTGTACTTGTCATTAAATTTCACAGTTTAGGTTGTAGATTTTAGTAACTTTTATAAAAAAATAAAAATAAAAAAAAAACATTAATTGGATTAGAAATATGTTTGTGTGTAGATAAATTGCATTAATGTTATGTTGGAGCCAGCAAAAAAATAAATAAAAATAAAAATCTACACGTTTGCGTACCGAAATGGGGACAGCATAGACTATTGTTTCTATATACTGATAGGTATAGTTACTTAATTATATTCATTTCATTTTTATACCATTTTTACAAATGAGGACTTCCCCAAAGGAAGGTTTTGGGAGATTTTGTCAGGCTTATCTCACTTTTTGGGTAAATCTGGGTAAATCTGTCCCCCAAATATGGTTATGTATACACACAGGTTCTCCCCTCATCTTTACAACAGCTTTTCTAGCTGGCCTCTGAGGTTTAGGCAATAGAATAGGGTAATGACCTGTTCATGGGACCAAGGGGTCAGACCGACTCTAAACTGACCAGACACGTGCTCTTTGCTCTAAACAAGCCTCTTAAATAACAAGAATAGGTCTTAAACAAATGATGAGCCTGTGGGGGAGGCGGATTTTGTTATTCTGCAAAAAGAACAATATTCTTCATGCTCAAGCAACATACATATTAGTCTTGATGTATTGTTAAAATAACCTAAATTAAAAAAAAAGTGAAGTCACAAACATCTAGACCACAGTGAAATCCATTTTAATGTGTTGTAGCTAGGCCTTTGTTAAAATGTAGGCCTACTATATTTATATAATTTCTAAAACTTATTTAGCTATTTTACATAAATATTAACCAATCTGCAATCCAGCAGTCAGGAGACTTAATTGATGCCATTCAGTGTCATATTTGAAGTTGATGTCAACACAAGTCTCTTGAGGACCAGTCACAGCTGACACAAGGGTCAGAGGTTATGTGCTAGGTTCAAGTGGTCTGTCCAGTTATTCCCAAAGGGCCAATAGAATGATCTAAGATGAAAGAGATTACATGATTTTGCTCTGTGTCCCACTATTAATTCCTCTGACTTAATTTCACTTAAAAAAATAAAAAAATAAAAAAATTTTGTAGTTGAAAGCATCTAGACATAAATGAGGCTTAGGCCTTATTTCTGTTTAGGCATTAATGACAAAACACGCATTTCTTTTTCGTTTAATGTCTGGATAAAATAGCTATTTGGTCAAGATAAAACAGGGTAAATGCATCTCAGTTTAAGCTTGGATAACAAAATTTAAGCGTCGACTAATTAAAGACATTTCATAACATCAAAGGACACCGTTGTATGTATTCTGATGTAGCTAGCCTACACTCTTATTCTGCTGAATTCAGAATTCCGATGTACATTCTTCATGTTTTGTATTAAACGGAACGCATTAGAACGCTAAAAATGCCGGAAATGACCCACCAAAGTGCGCGAGCTAACTGCAGGTGTTAAGTCACGTGGCGCTGTATGATCGTTTGTATTCATTCATTTATTCTGCTCGGATTTTCTGCTTGTCATAAGCAGATAAATAGCAACTATTTTACAGCGAGGCATAAAGGTCTCACCTATTTAGAAACACTGAGAAATTAATCGTTAGGCGTGACGTAGGGGAGAAAAAAAAAACATTTTTTTTTCGTTATATGGTTAAAGTAAACAAAGAAACTAGCATTAGGGGAGAGTTTTTAAGTTTAACCGATTAGAAATCAGCTAGGCTACATGACTAAAATAATGAGCACCACCCATCTGAGATGATAGCTATATATGTAAAACAAAATATTTTTTTCAAAGAGAGTGAAAATAAGCTACAAATTCTCGTCTGGTTTATAGTTTATGGATTTGTGATCACGTCGTTTTTACATGACAGAAATATAGCCTGAAACAGTAGCCTAGTTCGCTTGTTTAATTTGATAACACACAATCGCAGTTGTGACACATGCACAACACACAACCTGTCTGATAGCCATATTTTTTTATATGCAGTCTATTTGCGTTGTGTTTTTTTTCTGTTTGTTTCTCATTTTATTTGCTGCTTTAAATTGAAATGTTTCTTGTATATTTAAAATATTTTTTAAAAGAGTGCGAGAGCGAGAGAGAATGCGTGGTGATAAATTATTTTGATTACCGCTTAAATTTATGCACAAAATTTTTAAACACTCCATGTTTTCTATTGGATAAAACATAAAATTGAATTCATAGATTTCCAACAAATAATGGAATTTTATTTCAAAGTCTGAGACACATATAGCACAAAACACAAAGCTATACAGGCGTAGAAAATGTGTTGAAACACGCCTCGGTCTCTCTAACATACGGTCCCCAAAATACTGAAAGATTCACGGAGAAAAAAAAAGCTCAGCACCGAAAGTCTTTCATTAAGAGCCAGACGAGCAGCAATTAGCAACAGAGCAGCTCAGCAAAGCCAAGAGCGCCGGGATTATTGTCCAATCATTTATATCTTCCAAACCAGTAAGCATTACTAGAGTCTGTATTGTAAGTTAGCATAAGAATAGGAACAGGTCCTGTGAACTTCCCCGACCTTCTGACCCTCTTTTCCCGAGATGAATAGCACCACTTTCAGACACCCCAGCCTCTTCAACAGGCTTGAACCATGCCTAAATTCCCAATCATGGTCATTTAATATATCTTAAGTCTCCCGGCTGCATCTATAGTTTGATGTATGTCGATTCACCCTGTCATCAGAGCTCTTTACTCGGGCCGCTACGGGACTCTCTTATAACCAAGGGTTTCTCTTATAACCTATAAAAGCCAAGATGAATGGCGTTCCCATCTTTTCAGTGTCATTTTGATAAAAAGACAGTACAATTCGTCTATAATCACCTCCACGACAATAACACTGTTAGGATGCATCCGACATCGTGCACGACTTGCTTTCATAAAAGCAAACTCTTTATTTATTTATTTTTTTCCTTGGGAGGGTTGCAGTTTCTTGAAATAACTAAATAGCAAGTTGAAGCTCATGACTGGCTCTAACAATGCTCAGTGACAGGCAGGTTTGTGGCGCGTGCGCGAGTCTAACAAATGCCCCTGCCTC